CCCCTTCAGGCCCTGGCAGGGGCTCTGAGCTCTCCCTGGAGCTTCTCCTCTCCAGGTGAGCACCCCCAGCTCTCCCAGCCTGGCTCCAGCCCTGGGAGCATCTCCATGGTCTCCTCTGGATCTCTCCAGCAGCTCCAGCTCCTCCCTGTGCTGGGGCAGCTCTGCAGGTGGGGTGTGAGCAGGGCAGAGGGGTTGAATCCCCCCTTCCCTGCTGTCCACGCTGGGATCAGCCCAGGGCAGGGGAGTTTCTGGGGCCAGCACACAGGGCTGGGGCACACTGAGCTTCTCATCCACCACCATTCCCAAACCCTTCTCCTCAGGGCTTTCCTCCATCCATTCCCTGCCCAGCCTGTGTTTGTGCTTGGGACTGCTCTGACCCAGGGGCAGCACCTTGCACTTGGCCTTGTCAAACTTCCCAAGGTTCCACAGGCCCAGCCCCTTCAGCCTGGCAGGGTCTCTCTGGGTGGCACCCCAGCATAACTAGGGGATCCAGAAGACTTGATCCCTCTGGATGAAGGAATTTTCTGTAAATGAAATGTTCCAGGACTCCTCCACATCCAGTGGTACAACCCCACCCCAGTGAGGAGCAGCTGAGCCATGAATGAGACACCAGCCCTATCTCTGCTGGAGTCAGGGACATCCCCAAGGTTCTTCTGCTCTATGGGTGTGTTGTTACTGCTCCTGCTATCTGCACTTGAGCTTCCTCCAGGCTGTCTGGGGCAGCAGCTTCTTCCCTGCAGGAATGTTCTGGGAGGAAGTTTCCCAAGGCTGTGTGGGGGTGGCCAATCTCTGCTGGCTTGGCTCCTATCAGGGGGACAGGCTGCTGCAGGTATGGCCCCACAGCAGAACCCTGCCAAGCCTGCTGCCTCTGCTGCCTAATGACTTTCTCAAGGTATTTTTAGCTGCACATCAACTTCAGGAAAAGCTTTTTTGCATCTGAGGACACTGTGGCCTTTGTTCTGGCTTCTGGGAATGGGGAGGTGCTGGCTCGGTGTGGCTGGCACAGCCCTGTCCCCTCACAGGGTCTGTGAGCTGCCCCTGTTTGAGGGGTCCCAGTGCCCCTGGAGCAGTGCTGAACCCCCACTGCCCTGCTGTGCCCTGCCCAGGCTGGGGAGGGCTTTGGCAAAGCCTCTGGTGCTGGAGGAGGATGGAAAGGGCAGGTGTTGGGATGGCCATGGGCTCTTCCCAGGTGTTGGGGTGGCCATGGGCTCCACCATGGCTGGAAACCAGCTCACCTCTGCCTGCTGCCAACAACAGGCTCTGTTACAAAGTCCACTTGCAGATGGAATTAGCACATTGAATGTCCTGGATTGTTCCTTGAAGCTCTCTGGGCTGGAGGGACAGGGGTGATGAGAGTCTCTGTTAGTGTGTTCCCCTCACTGCTGGGATGCTGGAATTGGACAGTGGATGTTGTGGGAAGGTTCTGGACAGTCTGCCTGATGCTGCATCTTCCCTGCTGTGATCTGGGGAACTGTTCAAGGCCTGGTGAGGCACACATTGCCCTGTGTCACTGTGCTGGACTTACAATGGAAGTGTCCCTTACAGGGAGCTGAGTTTGCTCCTGTTTTCCATGGCAGAAGTACCTGGGTGTTGGCTCAAGGTCAGTCTGTGCCCTGCCCATGCTCACAGGGAAGCTGGGACAAGGGAAATTGCAGATTTCCCCTATTACAGCAAGATTAGTCAGCATTTGGGAATGGAAGCTCAGCCTTTTGGAGCAAAGTTGCCAGCTGGAGAGTTTAGAAGCAGTTGCCACCTCCCTTCCCATTGTAAGGGTGCTTGGTTTGGGATTTGCCAACTTTCCACCAGGCAGAAGACAGAAATGGTTTTGTAATTGCAAGTTGCAAATGGAGCCATTGCTGTGCCCGTGCTGGAGGAGCCTCTGCAGGAAAAGCAAGAAGGAGCCCAGATTGCTGCTGAATATCTGCCTTTCTTCCTGCTGCTGAATATCTGCCTTTCCTCCTGCTGCAGTGGGAGGCAGGCAGGACCCAGCTCACCTGTGGGCTCTGCTGCCTTGTCACTCTTCCAGGCACTCTGGATCTTGCCTGTGCTTTCACAGGAGTCTCCTAACTCAATCAGGGTCAGTGATGCTGTGGGAGTTAGAAACTGTGGAAGTGCTCACAGGTTCACTTCCAGCCCAGCTTTCTGTTGGTGCACCTGAGCTGGGCGGGACTTACAGAAATGATTTGTTGGATGGTGCTGCCTGTAATGCCGAATAGGGACTTTTACTTGGTGGAGTCTGTGGGCTCATCCTAAGGGTCCTGGAAAGGCTGTGAGCTTTCATGCCCCTGGTAGGAGGCTCAGAATTACTGCCTGCACCTTCATGTGGGGCTCTGCACAGCTGGGAATTCTCCTGGTGGAAATCCTCAGTGGAATTCTCCCAGTGGCCACTGCCCTCTGGAGCTCCCACCTCCCTCCCTTGTGCAGGGCAGGAACAGCCCTTGCTCCCTCTCCTTGTCAGGTGCAGAGTCCCTGTGCTGCAATGCAGAAGCTGCACAGGACAGTCGATGTATTCCAGTTACCCATTTGCTTTCTAAAATAGAGATAATGGTTGTAAGATCAATGCTGAATGGTGCCTGTTAAAATCAGAAACCCTCAGGGCAGCAAACAAGGGCTGGGCTCATCGAGTCATTCCCATTAACCAGGCTTTATCCTGAACCAGCCAAGGCACCTGCTGCAGCTCACCTGGCGCCTTTGCTGTGCCAGGCTGCCCAGGAGGGAGCAGGAGAGGGGTCCCACAGCTGTCTCGGGGCCTGCCAGCTCTGAGCCCCAGCCCTGGCAGCCAGGGCACAGCCTGGCTTGGTGCCTCCACCTGGTGACAGCGCCGGGTGCTGCATTTTAGCCTACATAGCTCGGGTTTGTTCGGGGAACAGGAGGGGAATCTGCAGGGAGGTGATGGCAATGGGCAAATCCTGCTCCTCTCTGTGAGGCCAGAGTGTACAAAGAGTACAAATAGCCATCTCTGCTGTTGTCCCTTTGCAGGGGGGTGTTCTCCCTTTGCCGGGATCCACGATGTGTGTGTTGGATTGTTTATCCCTCTGTCCCTGCACTGTGAGGACACACTCGCTGTGCCTCATCCCCATGGGGTGGCTGGGTGAGCAGAGAGGCAGAGATCTGGCTTTTCACAGCATGAATGATGCACCAAGTCCTGCCTGGGCTGCTGTGTCAGTGGGGGGATTTACTCTTCTCCTCCCCACTCCCCCTTCCGTGTAATCTCCTTAATCCCCTGGCGACAGGGCTCGGTTTCTGTCAGCTCTGCAGAGCCAGCGTTGCTAACGGCCAAGCTGCCTCCCCCTGCCTTGCAACAACAAAAGCACCAGCCAGAGAGGGCTTTGCTACCTCCAGCAATGATCCTGCAGAGCAGAACAAACACAGCTCGATTTACTGGGCATCCAGGTCTTCCTCTCAGCTCTGCCACTCTAAAAACAAAACCTCTTGTGTATGCATGGATTTAACAAATATGGATAAACCTCGGTGGTTTTCTTACTGAAGGCAACTTTAGGAGCTACTGGATCACACTGTGGGCTCAGTTCAGCTGTCACACTGCCCTGGAGGGGATCTGGGAGTGTTGGAGGGTGGATGGAGTTGGGGAGTTGGAATCTGTTGTTTCAGCCATGCATTGGATCTTGGCTCTGCCCTGGGCCCTCGAGGCTGTTGCAGAGCAGTGGTTGAAGGAAATAAGTGCCAAGGTTGATGTTGTGGCAATATATTTCTGAGCTCCTGTTGTCTCAGCAGCCAGGCTGAGGTACTGCAGGTCCTTTCTTGGGTCCAGGGGTGGGTGTACCTCTGGTTCCAGCTCCTGAACCGTGTCTGTGAAGGGCTTGGTATGTGTCTGAGGGTGGAGTGGCTTGATGCCCACCAGAACTCCCTGCCACCCTCAGACAGTGCCTGTGATTTCTCACATCCCCCCTGACTGCCTGACAGGGGACTGACTTGAGGAAAAGTAAACCCACAGCAGCCCTGCTCTGTGTCCTGTGTCAACAGCCTGGGATAACCACTTGCTGTGGAACTGGAATCCCTTAGAGCCTGCCCTAAATGACCTTATTTACAGGATATCTTCCTACAGAACCTCTCCTGTCCCAAGGAGGGTTGGGTTGGCAGCAGGTGCTCCTGCTGGCTCAAGCACTGCCCATTGGGTCTAGAGCTGTCCAGGGGCAGCAGAGCAGGTGGTGTGTGATTCCCTGGGTGGTGGCCTCTCCCAGATCACACATTCCTAGGTAACAGCCTCTCAGCCTGTCCCATGAACGCTTCATTCTTGTTTCCACAGGGGTCCTGACAGCTGGAGAGCATAACTTTCCCTTCCAGTTCCTGCTGCCAGGTAAGATGCAGAAAAGTGGCTGAAGGCCCTTCACTGTAAGCCTTGGATTTTGCATATACTTCCAGTTCAGAATCTGGCCTGGCTCAGCCTTATGACCTCTTCTTTCTCTCTCAACTCCAGCTTCTGCTCCTACATCATTTGAAGGCCCTTTTGGCAAGGTCCTGCATCAGGTGAAAGCTGTGATAGACACACCTCGCTTCTCCAAGGACTACAAATGCAACAAGATCTTCTACGTTCTCTGCCCTCTCAACCTGAACGACATCCCTGACATCGAGGTAAGGACGAGGAGGGCATGGCTGGAAATGCCAACACTCAGCACTTGTCCTTGTCCTGCTGTCTGAGGAGTCACTGAGTGGCTGGACAGCTCTGACTGCGAGCTGTGACTATGCAAGAGCAGGACAAGGACTCCTCTTCTCTCCTGCCTTGCTGTCAGTGCCTACTCCAGGTGATTTCTGACCCTTGTGTGTGTTGCTTTGAAAAGTTTATCTGAACTTTCAGCATGCAGAGAAACATGTTGGGCAACAGCTTCAGGTGCTTGGAGGCACTTGGGTTTGGGGAACTTGCTTTGGAGGGGAAAGCAACTAATAGGACAGTAGATCTGTGGGGCTGGAGAAGTGAGACTTGTTGTCTGTGGCATTGCCATGTTGCCGGTTCTTTGCATCCTCTTAGATGCAAATATTTCTGCTTGCTTGTTGTGAATCTCTTGAGTGTTTTCCTGGAGGCTCTCTGACTCTCTTGAGCCAACACCTCTGTCTGTGCCATCCTGCAGCAGCCCAACACCATGTCCATCACCAAGAAGTTCAACTACAAGCTTGTGAAAAGTGGCAACATCATCCTGACAGCCACGTCTGACCTGAAGGGCTACATCGTGGGCCAGGCCATCCAGCTCCGCACGGACATCGAGAACAAGTCTGGCCGCGACACCGGCGCTGTGGTGGCCAGTCTGCTCCAGGTGGGTGCCCATGGGGCCATCCTCTGCCTTGTGCTGCTGCTCAACCCTACTGGGGCCTCTGTGAAACTGGGGCAGCCAAATCCCCACCTCTGGTCCCCTCTGCCTTCCTGGGGAAAGAGGATCTAGAACTTGTCTTGCTTATCCCTGCTGAGTCTGTCACACAACAAGGGTATTCCTGGAATATGCCTCTTATGTCTGTGCTTGTGCTTATTTGACAAAGCAGTTGGGTGGGGTTGTGTCCTGGTTTACATTTGTGGGAGACAGAAGACCACCTGCAGCTGTGAGCCAGCTGTGTTTCTCCTGTCTGTGCAGAAAGTGGCCTACAAATCCAAGCGCTGGATCTACGACCTGAGGACCATCGCCGAGGTGGAAGGCTCAGGGGTGAAAGCCTGGAAACATGCCGAATGGAAGGAGCAGATCCTGGTTCCAGCACTGCCCCAGTCCATTCTGCAGGGCTGCAGCCTCATCCACATTGACTACTACATCCAGGTGAGTTTATTTGGAGAATCCCTGGGCTGGGCCGTGGCTCTGTGCTCCCTCCCAGGCTGAGCACTGTGGTCTGGGTGCTCCAGGCATCAGGTGAATCTTCCCACTGCCATGTATCACGAGGATGCCACTGTTTTCCCTTCTCTTCCAGGTTTCCCTCAAGTCTCCAGAGGTTTCTGTCACTCTCCCCATCTACATTGGAAACATTGCTGTGAACAGGGTCCCGCTGAGCCCCTCCCGCTCCATCCAGCACATCCCATCTGTGGTGGTCCCCAGTGCCCCCCCAGAGGAAGAGGAGGCTGCCAGTGGCTATCACCCCATGGACAATGTCTCCATCCCCACCAAAAGCCATTCCCAGCAGCAGCCCTTCAGCTACGCCCCAGGACTGAGCTTCCAGGAGATTCGGGCGGACTCGGAGCAGACGGGCTCCCCAAACCACCCCACACTCTGCCTGTCCACAGGAGCCACTGTCCCCTACTATGCTGAGGGGAACGTGGTGCCTGTCCCCACAGCCAGCTCTCTCATCCTGCCCCCAGAGTACAGCACGTGGGGATACCCCTATGGTGAGCAGCACTCCTGGGATCTGCAGCTGGGGGGAAACAGCTCCTACCTCAGTCTCTGCTAGCTGTGAACTGCTGGGAATCTGGGGATTCAGTCAGTCTGCTGCAGGCTGCTGTCAGAGGGATTGTGACATCTCTCTGCCTGCTTTAGCCTCTGGAGGAGTCCCCTCTTCCAGCTGTAAAAGCCAGCTGTCCTTCCCACATCCACACCCAGGCCTGCCCTGGGCTCGTCGTGAGAGGATCTCCCTGTTCTTAAAAGAGCTCTCAGCCTCCCACTGATAGAAAAACTTCTTGGCTTGTGGTGAGGCTGGTGGGAGCACAGCCAGGAAAATGATGTCACTGGAATCTTCTGTCTGACTTGGAGTGGGCCTGCAGCTGGTCTGAAGCTGTGGGGGTGGGAGCTGACAAAGTGTCCAGGGCAGTTCGGGGAAATCCCAGCATGCTGGAATCCTGCAGCTGTGCTGGGGTGGCAGGGCCAGCAGTGAGTGTGGGGTTCCTGGGGCTGTGCTGGGTTCCTGGGGCTGTGCAGGGGTGACAAGGCCAACAGTGTGTGCTGGAATCCTGGAGCTGTGCTGGGGTAACAGGGCCAGCAGTGAGTTCTGGGTTCCTGCAGCCATGCTGGGGTGGCAGGGCCAGCAGTGAGTGTGGGGTTCCTGGGGCTGTGCTGTGTTCCTGGGGCTGTTACAGGGGTGACAAGGCCAGCAGTGTGTGTTGGCACAGTTATACCCAAATCAGCCCCTCTCTTTGCCCTGGGGTAACAGAACACTCCATGTGTTGCTTCAGCCCTGGGTTGGGGCACATGGAGCACGAGTGATCTGGAGGTGCTGGAAGACAGGAGGATGCTTAGGAAAGAAAGGGAGGAACAGAACAAGACTGTGAGGTTGTGATTTTCACCTTCATGGGCATCAGGGCAGGGATGGGACTGGCTGGCTCAAACCCTCCAAAGCCCCTGCACCTCAGCTGGGGCCCTGGCAGGGAGTGTGTGTTAGTGGGTTGCTTCACTCTGCCCTGGGTTACACAGACTGGGCTGAAGGGAATCTCCCAAACCCACCATAACCTCTCTCATTCTTCCTTTCCCCCACAGAGGCACCTCCATCCTACGAGCAGAGCTGCAGCAGTGCCAACTCCAGCATCAGCAATGGCAATTAGCCCTCCCCTGCTCCGACCCCGCTGGCACTGCCCGCCCTGGCACCACGGGGCACCCGCCTGTGGCACAGTCTGGTACAGCACAAGGCGTCTTCTTGTCTCTCTGGCTGCTTTGGGGGGGAGCTGCCACATCCCAGCCTGGGCTTCTGAAGTCTCTTTCTGGGGAGGGGGTAAAAAAACCAAAAAGGGCAGCCAGAGCAGCCTGCATGTGTGTAGGAGAGGTCAGGGAACCTGAACAGTCTCCTGCTGCTGCTGGGGAGCTGGATGTGGCCCTGGAGCTCCCCTTGGAGCTCCTCCAAGTGCTGGGGAGCTGGATGTGGCCCTGTGCCCTGGGCCAGCCTGTTCCAGTACTGTAGTCAACACTAACTGCTTTACTATCAAAGCACCTGCGATGCCTTATCTGAAACACTCCTGACTCTGCACAGCCCCACTCTGAGGGAGGGCTGGGCTGTGTGGACCTGCTCTCCTCTTTTAGGGGCTGTGTGCTCTCCACAAATGGTTTTGACAGCCCTTCCTCCTTGTCCTCAGAGGTCCTAAGGGTAGCAGGAGGTTTCTTGGAGTAAGCAGGTTCAGAAGGTCAGGGACTTTAGAAAAGCCAAAAGCACAAACCCTCGCTGTACCTGAGCTGTGGGGGGAGTGATGGCAGTGTCAGTGGCCATGGGCACAGGGGGGCTCGTGGGGACACTTCCTGAGAAGCCCTGGTGAGCTCTGGGGAAGATCCTGGTGTGGGATGGGGTGTCCTTCTCCCCACAGAGCCCTGTGGGACACAGCCCAGCCTTGCTCACTGCCGGGCCCTGGCACACAGGACAGCAGCACTGCTCACTCTGCAGCAGGGGGACCACACTCCATGTCCCTGCAGGGTGCCCTCTCCTCCCAGGCTGCAGCTGAGTGACCATCAATCACAAAAGTCTGTCTGATGCTACCTCTGAGCCTGCCCAGGGGCCCTGCCCGTGGGATCCCTCCCCTGTCTGTGGGGCTGTCCCTGGGAGTGGCTGTCCCTGCCAGGGCCCTATGGTGGCCCTGTGTGTCCCCTGGGCCTGAGCAGAATGTGACAATGAACACAACCCGTGGGGAGCTGCAGCCTCTGCTGCACCTGGCACCTGGGGGAACGAGCTGGGTTTTCTTGCAATTTTTCTTTTGTGCTTTTCCCCCCACACACCTTGTTTAGCTCATTCAGCATTGACTGCCCAAGCTGAGAAACCACAACCACGTCCCTCAGAGCCACAGGTGCCAGCCAGGCTGGAGTTGTGGCCTCCAGACCTTTGGCACCTCAGAGCTGGTCCCCACACGGCCCCAGGCTGGGCAGGCAATACCTGACAGACCTTTAGGAGCATTTCCAGTTGCTGCCTCCTTGCTCAGCCACCTCTGCACACCCTTCAGGCAGCTGGGACAGGCCCTGCTTTGCACTCTTTCTTTGCAAATGCTTTTTTATTTTGGTTTTTTTTAAGCATTGAACTGCTTTAAGGGTAGTGTAGCAAAGGTGCCATTCTGAGCAGTGCTGGCACAAGATGCACCAATGATGATAGAGTGATTGTCATTGTCCCAGAATATATATAAATATATATATATATATATGTGAGATGAAGTTGTTTTTAATGATTGAATTCAGAAATACAAATTTTAATGCTGTATTTAATAAATTATTCTATGAGAAATGCTGTGCTTTTTCATCCATTTCTGATGCTGATCCATGTGCCTGTTCATGCCAAATCAGGAATGCACCTTGCTGATTTCTTACAAAATGAAGTTTTTTTGCTCTCACCAGGAAAGGTGGTGAACTCTGCCAAGGCAGCTTGGGGAAAACAAACACGGTGTGACCTGACCACAGTGCCAGGCTCAAAATTCCCCATGGCTGGAGGGAGTTTGGCACCACAGGCTTGGCTCTGGAGAGAGCAGCCACTGCAGCACTGCTGCTTCCCAGGCCCTGTGTCCCAAAGCCAGGATTTGTCCAAATGGCCCAGGAGTCCTGGGCAGTGTTCACTGCTGGCAGGGGAGGAGGGGGAGAGCAGCCTCTGCCTTTGGGAGGATGGAGATGGCATAGCCAAGGTCTGGCTGGAAGGGCTGGGAACCACCAGCCCCAGCTCCTAAAGAGCCATTTGGGATAAACTTATGGAAAGTTCTGAAGGAGAGCAACGAGGCTGATGAGGGGCTTGGAACACAAGCCATATGAAGAACGACTGAGGGAGCTGGGGTTGTTCAGCCTGGAGAAAAGGAGACTCAGGGGTGACCTTATCACTCTCTTCAACTTCCTGAAGGGTGGCTGTGGTGAGCTGGGGGCAACAACAGACAGAACAAGAGGACACAGTCTCAAGCTGCGCCAAGGGAGATACAGGCTAGAATTAAGGAGGAAGTATTTTACAGAAAGAGTGGTCAAATACAGGAATCATCTACCCAGGGAGGTGGTAGAGTCACCATCCCTTGAAGAGTTTAAAAAAAGCCTGGATGTGGCACTTGGTGCCATGATCTAGTTGAGGTGTTAGAACATGGGTTGGACTTGATGATCTTAAAGGTCTCTTCCAACCTAGAATTTCTGTGATTCTGTGAAAGTGGAAGAAGGCTCCTCCCCACAATCCCACTTTGGTCATCCCTTGGCTGAAGGAGGCAGATGTTGCCTCAATGTTGTCACTGCAGGTAGCCTGGGCTGTGATCTGTGTCTCAGACACAAAGATCCTTCTTCATTCTCTTCTCAGCCTATGCTTCTGCCCAGCTTCCATGGTTCTGGCTCTCCTGTGTTGGGTGCTGCCATGAGCAGCATTCTTCATCCCCAATGGGCCAAAGGCAGGTACAGCTCTTCCCCAGTGCTCTTCCTCTTCCTCCCACATGGCTGAACCTGTCTTGCCTGGCTCAGTCTGCAGCTCCATGGCCTTCCTTGCTGTTGGCTGTGCAAATCCTTGAACCCAAATCCCTTCCACACCCCTGGAAAAATTCCTGTGAGCTGTCAATGCTTCTGGACCTGATGGGTTGGGCTGCAGGCTCCTGACCCAGGCAGGCTCAGGGAGAGGCAGGAAGGGCTGGGAACAGGCCTGGTCTCCCAGCTCCTTCTCCATGCCTGGGGCTGAGCTGCTGCTGATGTGGCCAGCCCATGTTCCTTGGCTGGAAAATGAGATTGCTGTTTGGTTGCTGTGGCCAGAGCCACTGGGCTGTTTTTCCAGACTCCCAGCCAGCAGCTGTCCTCCTTGTTCCACCTTTGGGAATGTTCCACCTTTGTTTGGGAATGTTCTACCTTTGTTTGGGACTGGTGGAGGCAGTGGAGGAGGAGCCCCCACCCAGCCCGTGCTGTGCCCTGTCTCTGCAGTGCTCCTGTGCACCTCAGCTTGCTCTCCCCAATTATATTTGCCACAACCTGGTCTTTGGGACCTCCTGCTGTACACTTTGCAAAGCAGGGAGCAAATGGGGACACTCGTGTCTGGTGAGGAGTGTCCATCACCACCAGCTGCTGTGGAGGGAGCAGGAATGGGCTGGAGCTACACCTCAGGGTGGTGTTCATCCTTTTGGGGGCCAGGGCTGCTCCCCAGCCCAGCTGCTGTGCAGGGCCCCTCAGAGCCAGGGTGCAGCAGCCATCAGCCAGGGCTGGCTCTGAGCAGCCTCGTTGTGCAGGAGAATTGACATTACAAGTGACAATCAGTGCTTTGCACCCCTCCTGCCCTGCCTTGGCTGTGCGGGGAAGTGAGGCCTGACCCAAAGAGCCTGGCTGATGTTCTATGGAGCCCCTTGAAATGGGCAGCACTGCAGGATGGAGGGGTTGGTCCGGCTCTCCTTGATCCCCCCTGCAGGGTGGCACTGTCAGCAGGTCCTTGGGGAGGGCTTTGGGTGTGGGGCAAACCCAGTGTTTGGGTTTGGGGTTGAGTCTGGACTCGCCCTCTCCTGAGAGTTTCAACCCCTCTGTCCCCTGTCCACAGCCTCTCTGGTTCCACCTCTTGGGGAGCTCCTTTAGGCCCTTGATCGTCCCTCCCTCCTCTTGCTGAACACTGAAATAACAAGGAAAAGCCCATTTTTCTGATCACAGCTCTGGGTAAAGAACTTCAGCACGTAGGGATTCATTCTAATTCCTGGCTCAGATCTTTGAAGCAATTGTTTCTGAGCTTGTTTGAAATGGGGAGGGGGAGCAGTGGGGGATGAGAGAAGCTTGTGAGTTAATTGTTTCCAAACTCAGTGTCCAATGGAAAACACCAAAAATATCATCAGTTCCTTTTTTTCCCTGCTGCTTTTATGTCCTTCATGGTTTTGTTCTTTTCCTGCTTTCCACATATCCCACCTCCATACCTTTGGCTTTTTCAATGTTGTTTGTGTCCTAAACTAAACTGTGCTTTGGCGTCTGCTGTCCCACTGCCTGCAGGAGATGGGGAAAGGGGAGTTGGGGGATGCAAAGGCTCTTCTTTCTTTTTGACAATGATTCTTTTTTAGCTTTCCACTGAACTTCCAGGAGTTTTGTAAAAATAAATATTTTCTGCTAGGATGTTTTCCTGTTGAGCCAGCACAAGGCAGGAGATACAGGGTGTTCTAGGCTCCATTTGGGTTTTATTCTATATTTTAAAATATTTGCAACTATCTGCAACAGGAATGTCCCATCCCTCCTCCCCAAGAGAGACTGGCAGGGTAAAACCCACAAAACTTGTGCCCTTTCTTGTACCACTACTCGTGGCTGTAATTCTTTATTCCTGTGGTTCTCTTTACAGATTTTGGGGTTTTATACAACAATTTGTGATGGGTCTGTACAACCTAAGACTTCTGTGCAATTTATAACTGGGTTTTGAAATGTAAACTCGCAGTTTTCCATGTTTACCACGGCTTCTGGGGAGTATTTTTGTCCTGGGTTTTAACCCCCCAAATGTAAAGAACCGGAGAAATGTAAATAAAGATGATCTTTTTTAAGACCAAGGTTGTTTTGCTCTGGGTATGTGATGATCATAAATGATATCTCAGCTGTCTGGATGCTGAGACCTGACGGTGAGAAATGCTTCAGGGCTGTCAGTGGAGGATCCCCACTGGAGCTGGAGCTTGGAGCCTGGTTTAGAGCTGAGGTTAAAGCAAAGCCGCGGCTCCTGCAGCTCGGCAGGGGAAGGGCTGGGGTGGGAAGGTGAATCACAGAATCATGGAATATCCTGAGCTGGAAGGGACCCACAAAGATCATCCATCCTAACCCCAGCCTGGGCACCCCTGGCAGCGCTGCCCAAAGGCTCCTGGAGCTCTGGCAGCCTCGGGGC